ATTTTCTACGTATGCAAAAAAATTTTCAACTAACCCAGTTTTTGGAAAAACGGCGTTGATGCTACCTTACCGCAAGTTAGCAGAAAAAATGGTTAAAAATTAACAAAATTTGGTTTTCGACATGGGATAATTTACAACTCATTAGCAACTATTTTTCACGTTTCGAAAAATTGTTGAAAAAACATNTTTTAAAAAAAAAGTGTTTCTGCTAGCTTTTCTGTAAGTTAGCAGAAAAATTATTTAAAAAATCAATAGAATTTGATTTTCGATGTCGGATAATTTCAAGCTAATTAAGAGTAAATTTAAAATTATATTGGAAAATCAAAGCAACATGAATTTCAGTTCAATTATTATATATGACTGCATAGTAATCATAAAAATTCAGATAGTAAATCTATTCTTGAATATTCACTTAATCAAAAATTCCGCCTAAAATAACTACTCAATATTCATTTTTTAATTGAAATTTCATGATCCCTTCCTGAAACCAATTTAATTTCGTTTTTCGGAAAGTTGATGGTTAACTGCTCACAAAGTTTCAATGTATTTACTACAAAGTTTATTCAGTGTCAGTATTTCTCGCAGATGGAATGAGAAATAACCGAGCCTGATAAGGCTGATAATGCACCTATGGGAGTTCCCCCTACTCGACTCCTTTCTCCAAATTGACTACGAAAACAAAAAATTTCGAATTATAAATAATGATCTGTTAATAATTTTTCAATTATTCAATCTCAAAAATGATTTTTTTGCTACATTCATAAGTGAGATTTAGTTCATTTCTACATTTTGGTCAAAAGTAGGTAAATGCGTCGGTTTGTGGAAAAAAAAATTTGTTGAAAAAAAAAATTATTTTTTGAAACGTGAAAAAATAGCTGCTAATGAGCTCTAAATTATCCCATGTCGAAAATCAAATTTTGTTAATTTTTGAACGATTTTTTCTGCTAACTTGCGGTAAGGTAGCATCGACGCCGTTTTTCCAAAAACTGGGTTAGCTGAAATTTTTTTTGGAAACGTAGAAAATCATCTCTTAATTAACTTTAAATTATCCGATATCGGAAATTCAATTCTATTGATTTTTTAAATGATTATTCTGCTAACTTACAAAAAAACTAGCATGAATACGTTTTTTTTTTTAATGGCATTAGCAGAAAAATTATTAGGTGTATATAAAATTAGCTCATAATAAGCCGCAACGCTATTATTTTCCGAATGGCATAAAAATGAAAACTTTTGGAATAACAACAAATCATCCGATAATGATTTTTCAATTATCCAATGTCAAAAAGGATTTTTTTATCACTTTTACAAATGAGGTCATTCCTGCATTTTGGGCAAAAGTATATAAATGCGTCATTTTGTGAAAAAAAAACATTGAAATTGTTTTATTAAAAAAAAACTATTTTTTGAGAAAAAAAAATTATCTTCAACAATTTTTCGAAACGTGAAAAATAGTTGCTAATGAGTTATAAATTATCCCATGTCGAAAACCAAATTTTGTTAATTTTTAACCATTTTTTCTGCTAACTTGCGGTAAGGTAGCATCAACGCCGTTTTTCCAAAAACTGGGTTAGCTGAAAATTTTTTTGGATACGTAGAAAATTAGCTCTTAATTAGTTTTAAATGATCCGATATCGGAAATTCAATTCTATTGATTTTTTAAATGATTATTCTGCTAACTTACAAAAAAACTAGCATGAATACGTTTTTTTTTTTAATGGCATTAGCAGAAAAATTATTAGGTGTATATAAAATTAGCTCATAATAAGCCGCAACGCTATTATTTTCCGAATGGCATAAAAATGAAAACTTTTGGAATAACAACAAATCATCCGATAATGATTTTTCAATTATCCAATGTCAAAAAGGATTTTTTTATCACTTTTACAAATGAGGTCATTCCTGCATTTTGGGCAAAAGTATATAAATGCGTCATTTTGTGAAAAAAAAACATTGAAATTGTTTTATTAAAAAAAAACTATTTTTTGAGAA